TGGTAAGTAACCAATAAATGCTAGCTTAACTAAATGTGTTTAGTGGGATTTTATTCACCTCCCATGGGAAGTTTTCTGCCTGTAGGCAGGGAGCTAAATACCTATACCCTAGTAAAACCTGTTCTTTCTTCTGTGTTCTATATCTGCATGTCCAAGTCAAATTTAATCATGTCTCTCTGTCTCTGTCTCTCTGTCTCTCTGTCTCTCTCTCTTCCTCTCTAAATCAATCACCAAATCCTAACAGTTACCTTCTAAATATAGCTTAAATTTATCCACATTTGTCTAGCTCATTGCCAAATTATTTTCACAGCTTACTGACTGCTTCCACTCCTGTTCATAGTATAATACGTATTCCAACACCAATCACAGTGATCTCTTAAAATCACAAATTCTATTCATGTCACTACTCTGCTTCAAACCCTCCCAATGTCTCCCCACTGCCTCCATGGTAAAGTCCAACATCCTTAACAAAGCATAAATATCATCATGATTGGCCCTGGGTTTCCTCTTTCTTCTCCCTTCTCTTCATTTCAGATGCTGTATCTATGAACCCACAGAGTGTCATTATACTCAATTGCTGGAACTTGTTTTATTGTCAGTATCTTCTCTAGTGCAAAAGCTCACTGAAGTCAAGAGTTGTGTCATATTTGGTGCTGTATCACAACTAGGGCCTTACAGTGGATAAACTCAATTAAAATAAAAAATTTAAAAAGTAAATGCTATCTCTGAATTCCTCCAAATTTTTTAGTCTAATTTTGCTTTTAACACAGGTTATAGTTTGGTAATATATTATAATAAATTCTGAGCTTCAGAAGAAGTATGGTTCTTCAATAATCTCCATTTTAGATCCACTTACTACTGCCCCCATTCTAAAGTAATGAACCAAGGTGACATTTATAACTCCTTCCACTCTCTAATCCTGATTGTTAATCACTCTATAGGAGAGAAGGAAAAGAGTTTAAACTGCAGCAAGTCAGACTGTACTTAACCATCAGACTGAATTTACTGACACTAAGGATATCTGAAATGAGGAGGCTGTCTCAAGAGAGGAGGGAAAATATCACTGACAATGAACTGCCCAGAAAAGCTTAGATATTTGCCCAATATTTAGGTGTGATTGCCTAGTAAAATTCACTTAAGCTTTATGAGTCTGTAATTTGTTCCACAAAATTTGGTCATAATAATTCAAGGTTCAGGCTAAAGAGAGTAATCTATTATGAACCTCAGCACCTAAGTTTAAGTAAATTTTTAAGATTTGAAACACAGAATCTACTGGGGTTTTCAAAATATTTATCAGAATGATTATTCTCCAACCCAATTTTAACACTTTCTATTTCAGTCCTCAAGATTACATATTATTGTTACTACATGTCAGTTTATATTTAGATGAAGTACACATCAGAAGCATCATTGCCTAAAGAGGACAAAGGCATTCTTCTTTCCATATCCCTTGGTGTGACTCCAAAACAATGCCCTCAGTCTGTAGTGCCCAATGTAGTAGCCACTAGGCACAAGTGAACACTTGAAATGTGGCTAGTGAGAATAGAGATATGCTATAAATGCAAAATACACAGCAGATCTTGAAGACTTAGTAAAACACCTAATATTTTTATATCGACTACAAGTTGAAATAATATTTAGGATATATCAGATTAAAACAGATTATTAAAATTAATTTCATACAGTTCATTTGACTTTTTAAAATATGACTATGAGAACATATAAAATTACATATGTGGCTTACATTTGTGGCTTGCATTATATTTCAATCAGACAGTGCTACCATAAGCCTACTTAAAGAACGAACATTTCTGAACTGTTTCTTCAGGAAGAATAAAAAGCATCATTGAGAGGTCAGATCTGAATGGGGTCACCAGTGATGCACAGAAATACAAATGATCCCCCAAACTTAAAAAATAGTAAATCATGCTAAAAATGAAAAGCTTTAGTAAAACCTAACCTCTTTCTTCTCTGAAATAAAAAAAATAAACTTCATATTTTAACCTTTATTTCATAGGTTTAACCTTTATTTTTTGGTGAAATTATTCTGAGTATTGGCAGAATATAAGAAATAGGGATTCTAAGATATTAAAGCGACAGTTCTCCCTCAGTAATAGAGTTAAGTACTAGAAATGTTACCTTATTCTTATTTTTTTCTTTCTGAAAAAAATTAATTTAATTAAATCTTCTACCACCTTACATTTCCTTTTTGTAAAATACCACAAAAACATTTGAGATAACGTATACTGTACTAATCAGGCAAGGTAAACTTTAGAATCCACTCAATAAAATGATTCCCACCACCCTACCCTCATATTTCACTGTCCTGTCTCTACTGTTTAACATTTTCTTCAATATTTTTAGAAACTCCAAGACAATACCAATAAATGTAAGACTATAGCTAATGATTTCATCTGAAATACAATGTTACATCTCAATAAAATATTAAATTATTATAGTAATTTATGTGTTCTTATACATTTATTTTTACTTGTTATAATAATTTAAATATGCTTTCTAAAGTGTTAAAATGTAACACTTTAAAAAGAAGCAGGATTTAAAAAAAAAGAGGCATGACTAAATCCCTCAGTTTTTGAAAGACCATCAGGAGGCTCTTTAAATAGCCTACGTAACCTCATATTACATACTTTTCAAAGTATTTGAAAGTCACTGAGTTAGAGAGCTCAAATTAGCTGTTTATTGATATAGAAAATGGAGGTAATTTATCAATGCCCTATTCTCTACTCCATGCACATCTCGGGGGAAGAAGTGGAAAAGAAGAGAACATACATATTGGTTAGAAGAATAAGTAGGTTTCTACAAAGTTAGTCCCAAAGAAAATTTCTGTGCTTCTGAACATAACGAAATAATATTTAAGAAAGTAACTGTATGTTTCATCAGGTTCCAATCACCTTGACACTTGAAATTTTAAATTTTTATTTTTTAAAAAACTTTTCCTTTAACCTAGTACACTACTTCTTCATAAAGATGCCCTATATAACACTGCTAGAAAACTGGAAATTATGTAGCATAATAGTCAGAACTGAAATTCTAGTATTTGTCCAGGAATAGGGGCTGTTTTACTAAAGCCTGCTGGAGCATTCAAAGAAAAGGGAGATAGATTTGAGCCTTCATAATTTTTGAAGAAACAAGAATAATAAGAAAAATAAGTAAGGAGAAGGTAAAGAAGATCATGTGGTCATTTTTTGAGGGGGGTGGGGGGATGTTGTAGTTGTTTTGTTCGGGTTTCTTTTATTTTTGCTGGCTGGTACAGGGATTGAACCCTGGATGTTGGTGTTGCCTAGACCTTGGTGTTATCAGCACCACATTCTAGCCAACTAGATAAGGCCAGCCTGGATTTCTTCTCTATTTTTTTACAGGTAGGGTATTTTAAGGGAAGTGTTTGGGAAAATGGAACCAGACATAAGCTAATTAAAGAATCATGAGAGAGAAGAAGGCTGAGATTTATGAAAAACAGACAATAAAACCTACAAGGATCCTCCTCCTGTCCATCAAAGCATTAAGCAGGAATGTCTAGTACTGATAGAGGCAGAAAGCAGAAGATATCCACTATATTATAAAGCAGGAAAAAATAATCCTCAAATTCATGACTTCATTTTTGTTTACGCTTCTAGTACCAAACTTAAGTATTAGGTGTAATTTGGTCATGAGATCCTTAACAAATGAAGAAATTTAGAATGCAAAAGAAAAAAGACAAGTTTTATTCAATTTGATAACAAAAAGTCAAGCTTATGTATATTTTCATGCATCCATATTTATTTTTAAAAGAGTTAAATAATTAAATCACTTTGAAATTAAAGGTAGAATTCAAGAAAAATTATTAAACCTGTTAACTATTCTTATTTACTTTTATCTAAATATCCATTTCAAAATTATCTACTGATGATTCTTATACAATTCCAGGAGTATACATTATTTGTGAGATCAAAAAATCCTGATAGATATCCCAATATAAAAAACTATTTTTGCATAGGATGAAATTTTCTTCAATGAAGTTTCTTTGATATGAGCAATGGTGTATTCTACAGTAAGATAAAGTATGTGAATACATTTTATAGACTGTAAAGTATCATACCTAAAAGATGCAATTATCATTATAATGAAAAGTTTTCAAGTACTTTATAGTAACATATACACTAGTAATGTAATTTTTCCTCTTTTGAACTACAATATTTCTCATATGGTACTTATTATTTTCTTCCATATAGTATAATTATTTATGTATAAACCATATTTCTTTATGAGTCTATATGGAGCTTCAAAACCATAGGCATATCTCAATGTACTTAACAGCATCTAACAGAGTACCTTGCAGAAAAAAACACTATGTCAAGAAAATAAAATACTGTACTTCTTAAAGTAAAAACAAAAGTCTAGCAAGGATTATATCAGCTACTATGCAAAGTTTTTGATCTTTTATAGTGGTAAACATGCATATAGATAGCACTCTTATTTCTCTTTAGTAATAATGCAATCCTATACCAAGCAAAGTCAGATCTGCATTTAGAACTAGCAGCAGGTCTTTAAGAATGAACACATGGGACATCATTAAATACATATGTCTGAGATTTTTCTCATAGTAATTTTCTGACTATAGTAATTTTCCTCATTGAGTCTGGAGTTCCATTTAGCTTGTTGTCTTACATGGTTTACATCCATACTACTACACTTTTCCTTCAACAAAAAGATTCCAAGGAGGAGGAAAAGAACCACTCCACAACTAGAGACAGGGAGGGGAAGAGAGGAAGATAGGGAGAGAGACAAACAGACAGACAAAGAGACATTCATGACCTACAGACAGGCAGAGACAAAGAAGAGAGAGAGAAATTCAGTACTGTGGTTCTTGGTCATTTAATTAAGGCCTCATCCTTGCAGGTTTATCTTCACTAAATAGAGCTGCACAAGCAGGAGAGAAATTTTCAACATTCATTTGACAAGAAACACATTGGCAATAATTGTAAAATGAAACATTTCTGTACCTTAATATCAGATGTATCACGTTGACTGTTTCGCCAAACTCTGGAAATTGATGAAAAAGTTCGATCTGCATGATCAAATTTCCCTCCTTGCAAATTTAGGAAATAAGTTGTAAAGGGTTCCTAAAAAATAGCAGTTAAAAAAAAAAATCCATATGTTCCCTCATGCATAAAAATGTGGTGTTTATAAGTCTTTATATGTAAATATTTTAATGACTAATACGCATTAGCCAGCAATATATACTAGATATAGAATGAAAATTAAATCTAAATTATCACATTAATGTTCTTAAATCATTTTTGTTTTAGAATATTTCTAAATATTTCCAAAATTTGATATTTGCAATATTTTCTTCAGACTTTTTCTTTCCAAGAACAATTTACTAACAACATTCAGACATGAATTAGATGCACTTTCTTCATAGTACAGGGAAATAGTCCAATATGTAATTTTCCTATTGTTATGGCTCAATATTTAACTTATCATTAAGAAAAGAAAAATGTTTAGAAGATTTAAAAGCCTCCTCTTAGTTAAAGAACACTTAAACACATATTAGTGGATAATTGCTTGAAATTAGCTAAGCACTATAAATTACTTCTAGGATTTATGCCTGCCTGTACCCTTCTAACAAGCTTTAATTAATGATGTGCTGCTAATGCTTTCCTAAAGAAATTACTTTCTAGTAGATGAATCACCTTTCAATTTTACAGAAACATTTCTTGTTTAGCCAAAGTATTATCGATACACGACAGCCTTGGTGTTACCTATAAATACACCTTATTCCATTTGGGGCAACTGAAGTTTCCAAAATATAAGAATATACGTCTGTGTTAATGAAATATCATTTAGTACTTATTTTAATAGATTACATTTAAAACAACCTTTGTTACAATTTAGAATCTGGTAAGATAGCTACCATTTGAAGAGGCAAATTTAAGGAAAAAATTCACACAATTCCAGGTGGAACATTTTTAAGGCAATTCTACAGTAACATGCTATAAAATGCAAACCAAATGAGATATAGAGATACTTATAATTAGAATCTCAATCATTCAAAAAGATTTTTAGCATTCATGCATTTTCTTCATAACACTGAATTGATTAAGTCATGGTTTATTATACAAATAGAACTTACTATTCTTAGCAGCCATGCAAGAACAAAACTTGCAGTTGAGTAATGAGTACCATAGTGAAACTTTGGTACTTGGTCATCTTCCCATGATTCATACCGCTCTGCAAAAAATGCTGCTCTTTTTGGATTCAAAGCTCCTATTGGCTGCCAATGGGTAGGGGGAAAAAATCAAGAATACATAAATGTAAGTGTCCTTTATCTCTTCCTCTCTTCTAATGTTATCCTAATAGTAGGCATGAAAGTAAATTTTTAAAATATATGCTATTTGAGCTAAAACACAGTGTAACATTCAGAGAGTAGATGGAAAAACAACCTTATTTTTTAACACACGATAAATATACACATATAAGTAAGTGGATAGATAAACTTGTCATTTCTCCATAAGCCTAGTTTCTGTTGAACATAGGTTTTTAATCAGCCCATAACAAGAATCTCATAAAGACAATTACATGAAGTAAATATTAGCTATATAATATTTTGGAAAGCACCTGCAAAATCCTATTTAGTCAATCAGAAGCAACAACCAGAAACAGAATCTTGAAGCTGGAGGACTGACTTACAGTGGTTCTGAGAGGAGGATGTAACAAAACTGGGGCATGGGTGAGATGGAGTGCAAAGAAGAAATTGTGTAAAAAAAGGATTAAGAAGTAACTAGAAATTTCTACTACTGTGAGTGAAACCACAAGTTAGATTATAAAAATATGCCTGAATGAACTATAAAAAAAATAACATAAAAAAGAATAGTAGACAGATTATGAGCTTATACTGGAAAATATTACATTACAGTAGAGGTTCAAGAAGCAGTATAGCAACATGGTAAAGAGCCTGGACACACTGGAATAATAACAATAATACCCATTCAGAAGATTGCTTTGGAAGATAAAACGAGTAAGTACATTAATGTCCTACCAACCACACCTGAAAAGTTCAATGAATGCTAACTATAACTTTAAGACGATCTTTTAGAATTGGGGCAAGGGAGTTTAAATAAAATAATTGTTTAAATTATTTAAACAATTGTTTAAATAAAATAAGGTTGTAAAGCACCCAGCACATTGCGTAATGTAAAATAAAAGCTCAATAAATGTTACTTGGTATATTTATTGTTGCTGATGCTCTTATTCAGGGAATACATGAAATCCATTAATTAGCAGGCAAAATTTTGTGTGATTATGCGCATGTATATTTTCTTGAGGAAAACATATAGAGTATTCCTGAGATTCTCAAAGGGGCCTAGGGCTCAAAGAACATTAAGATCAACTGCTCTAAACAACAATTTATTCTCTTAAAATGTTATGATCTTTAGAAAATCTCTACTCTTTATTGAAAATATCATACTAATTCACTGAAAAAAATATGTAAGACTACTTCTCTTAGTAAGATACAGAACAGTCTTTGACTTTATATCTTTTATGAAAACCTATGAATTGGTCACTCCTCATTTATAAGAGAAAAAATGTCTAATTATTACTAACATAAATTTTAAATATTGGTTTAAAAATAGATGTATTGAGAAATAGTCTATTGAAAATGAAGCACTGTTGAGACAAGTTTGGAACAGCTTTTCCTGTTATTTTAAACAACATTTTAAATTCACCATTTTGGCTATCTTTTTAAAATTAATTGCTAACTATTTTTTCAAAACTACCATTATGTTTGGTACCACTCTCTTTCAATAACTTGGTTCTAATCAACATTATTTTATTCTAAGCTAGTTTTTACTTTACAAGCAGATTTTTAAAAATCATTAGTTGATTACTATTTCAAGTCAGTGTCACAGTATACTCATTTAAAAATGCTATCTTTTAAAGCATTAGTGTCTGTACAAAAGAATTATATCTGATTTACTAAATGTACGGCAGTTAAGAATGGAACTGACTCCAAGAATTCTTTCTTTGTTACAGAACCAATTTGGAATGCCTTTAAATGTATTTTAGTTGTTGTCCCTAAAGACTGAGCCATGCAAAAGGAAAGGAAAAAGAAATAAAATCATTGGAAGATAAATTATATGAATTAAAAATAGAATCAATGCTCTCCTTTTGTATGGCTCTGCAGCATATTAAGTATTCACTTTATCTGCTCCTATTTTTATTACTCTCCGAATGAGTAACCTCCAAAATCAATAGTTATAGAATCACGTTTCTTGAATATAATGCTAAAACCAATTAGGATTGATTTCACTAGCGACTGAAAAAAAAAATGGCATCATGCAGAGATCCATATAGGTAGAACCCACTGTATTGATTCTGGCTATTATTGTTACAGTTGGTTTCTGAAGCCTGCCATAGGACAGCTATCAAGACATACCACATTTATTTGCAAGCATATAAAAAAGAAGTCCCCAAATAAAAGAAGGTTTTTTAAAAAAAAAGACCAGCGGAGCTGTGCAATGACAATGATACACTATCAGCTTACTCAGAGAAGTTACAGTGGGAATACACACATTGAATTATACATTACGTGAAAGCACTGATTTATTGTGGTAATAACATCCACCTCATTAAAAGATTCTGCTTTGCTGCAGTTGGAAGGCTACATATTGTTTACTGCTATAAATTAATGGCAGTGCAAAGAAGACTGTGGAACCGTCCTAACAATAGATCTGTAATGACAGTGCTGTATATCACAGCTTCCTCAGCAGCTTCATAATAAAATGGAGACAATGTATTGAGCTAATACATTCTACCATGCTGGCCCATATTTTTCTGACAACTGCTTTAAAAGATGAGCTGAATCCAACTATATTATAATGCCGCAAAACATAAACTAAGCAAAAGTCAGTCATACACCAAAGTGCATCGTAGCATTTTTAAAACATTATCCAAATCAGCATTTCAAGATGTTTATTCATCTCTGCAAAAGAACTAAAAGTAAATGCTGATGGCTCCTTTTACTTATACAGTATATTACGAGTAACAATTGCAAGGCAGGTCAGGAAGATGCCTAGCTCTACCATTCTACATAGAGCTCTTTGTACAATTTAACAAGCTTGACCGTGTTTTTTTTAAATCAGCAATGTTTTTAAAGAAAGAAGACCAAAAATACTGGTCATTAAAAATGGTCATAACTTTTTGAAAATAATCAATAAAAAATAAGTATCGATTAGAGAATATACAAGTGATATAATTCAAGTTCAGAACCAGGCAAACATAAATAGCCCTAAGATATAGAAAAATAATTTTAAATTCTACAAAAAGCTAACAAATAGAATTATTTAAGATTTTTTAACTCCATAGAAAACAAAACAAAAAAACCTCAATCATTAACAGTATGAAAGAGAAGTTCAAATAAAATAGAATAGTTTAAAATTTAGAGTATGGGACTAACAACAGAGCATTATGTTAAAAAATGGAAATGAGAACTTGAATTAAAGTAGGAAAATACAAGTTAAGGAAAACCAAAACTCTTGAAAACGGTATGAATAGCCAAAAAATGTACTTACGATATTTTAATAATTACACAAAAAGCAAACTTGACATCTGTGATAGAGTAACAAGTATTCTGTCTATGATATAGTAATGATACCTTTTGAAATAGGATAAGTAAAATAAAACTGTTAAATCAGTTTTGTATGATTATTACAGTAAAAAAATAAATACATTTTATTACCTTCTTTGAGAAGCAATTTTGTTAATTAACAAAAATACTGCATGTAAAGTGACCACCTCAGTGCCTGGCACATGGTAAGTTATTAGTAATAATATATATATATATTTTTTTCAGACTATTTTATTTAATAAAGAATATTTAAGAAAGAAGCCATTAAGTAAACCTGATGAAATTTCTGGAGTTTATTAGGAAAGAGCATGATTAAACATCACAATTCTCTAAAATAAAGCAGGATAAAAATACAGTACTGTGCATTACCTATCAGAAGCCTAATAGTACACAGTAGTCCCAATCAACCAAGTTACCCTGCCTCAAGTACATAACCAAAAGCAAAATTACTTTTCAAAAAGCCAGGGGCCTCTAAATTTCACTATGAAAAGCATCTGAAATGTCAGGCAAGTTACAATCATCTTCTACTACATTAATTAAAAACAAACGTTTTTAAATTCACAGACCCCTTTAAAGGCACAAAACAGACTTCCAGCTTATATTTTGTAATTTATAGAACATTATTATGCATTTTCATAATAAATATGAGAGCTAGATATCCCTATTTTAATAATGAAATAATGAACTATCTTAAGTATCCTAGCTCAAAATCAACATAAATCTAGGAGACTCAAATTTAGTATTCAAAACCCCTTCTTTGAGCCATTTTATCCATCTAAAACTGTTGTATTACAAGTTGATTTTCCTAATTTCAAAATTTTCCATTTTTTAAATATGATCTTTATTTGATAGGTTGATTTAAAAGGCTAAGATATGTGAAATGCTTAGAACAGCTCCTGGCACAAAGAAAATACTAAATAAGTTTAGGTGATATTAATTGTGTTATTACTAGCAGCATAATTCCTTCTTTTCTTTTGAGATTTAAATATAAACAATTAAAAGTTATATCAATCTTTCAGCAGTGAAGTTCCAAACTGCCGGACCATGCTTATAGTTATTAAGGGTAAGAAAGTTGTAGGGAATTGGCAAAAAATCCCAGAAATTCTACAAGGCAGAGATTTGTTTATGTTAACAAACTCCTGTTTTAAAATCCAAAAAAGTCTTGTGTTTTTCACACCTTTCTGTGAAGGCTTTATTTAGAATATCATTAAACTCCAACACATGGAGATGAGAAGAAGAGAAAGGAGTTGAAGAGAAAGAAAAAAGATAACTCTGGAGCATAAGACTCAGGAATAGAGCCCTTGGAAATGCTGAAGGACAGCATTTCATAAAGATACATTTTGTGGGTATATAGAGAAGTGGAAAAGAGATGTCAAAAGTGAGAAAAGGTTCAGGAAGGGGAGGCAAAAGAGCATGACTACTTTACAACTCTGCTTAGGATCTTGATGACTGGCTGAAAGCCATCTGCCAATGTCATCTTCATTTGGTATGACTGGAAAATTGGAAACATTCCTTAACTCCATGACAACAGATAAAGCCTGCTCCACAGCATTTAAGAGGTTGTGTGCAAATAGAGGTTATACATTATTTTATTCTTCTCTGTAAGTAGGGTAGGCCTAGAGATATTGAAAGAAAGCCACTGCAAA